AAGCTGCTTCTGCTCCTGATGTGGAAACCAAGGCTTCTGCTTTAGTGGCAAGTGTCCATCATCGTCCAGGGTTTGGATCCGGGTCTGGCTATGATCATGGGTTATCGGCGTCTGTGCCTCATCTGAGTGTTAACTGGAAGAAGAGAAGGATGCCTAGACAGAGACGATCTTCTTCGTCCTTTAACCTTCTCTCTTTTCCTACTTTGCCTCCTCCTTCCCACGTGCCAACTCCTCTTCCCGCACGTGTAAGTCTTTTTTTTTCATTAATCCTTCACTCTCTATCAATATTATTTATTAATCAAAATATAAATTAAGCCTTTTATGAATCTATTTAATTAGATGTGTGGATTCAAATATATAGATTGAATTTATGTAATATTTATTTCCATTTGATTGATTTGTTAAAAGATTCAACGTATGTTGTGATGATGTCAGAAAATAGACACAAGAAGGTTAAGATTCCTCTTCCAAAAGGAACTGAAGAACAGTGACGTCAGCTCCCTCCGCCGAATGATACTCCCCAAGGTACCATCTCTGATTTGTATAACCATGATGATGATGATAGATGATTGATGATTCTTGATGCAGAAAGCAGCGGAGGCTCACTTGCCTGTGTTGGAATCCAAGGAAGGGATACCTATAAAAATGGAAGATATGGATGGTCTTCACGTTTGGACTTTCAAGTACAGGTATGTACTTATACAATTTATAATTTCATTATACCGTCATACTTTAATTATACCTAATTAGTGCTATGTAACGAGCATAAACTATTCAGTTTTCATAAGTTACAAATTGGTTATCTGTAGTAGGACAGTGTGTTCACTTATCCATGTTGCTCCTAAGATCTTTAATTTGTTATCTATGCAAGTCTCCATAGTCTCTAAATACTACTAGCACTATATATGAGCTTTCAAATTGTGTCTATGATGTCATATATATCATCATTTACTTTAGGACCGGCCTTAATAAGATCTTAACAATTGGATTCTGAGTCTTGGCCTAATGTTGTAATCTTTAGGTACTGGCCAAACAACAATAGCAGAATGTACGTGCTAGAAAACACAGGTAAACTTAATTATTATAACTCGGAATAGTTAACAACAATAATAATCAGATTTTCCTTTCTAATTTGTCATGAATCAACTACTAAATCATTGTTAAACACACGATTTGAGCTCGGTTTTTAATTCCAGGGGACTTTGTGAATGCTCATGGTTTGCAGCAAGGTGACTTCATCAAGGTCTACCAAAATCTCTACCTTCACAATTACGTAAGTAACACGTTACCAGAATCCAAAATCTTATGTCATATACTCAAAATCTATTTATTTATTCAATTCAATTCAATTCAACTCAGGTGATACACGCAAGAAAGGCATCAGAAGACGAAGAAGAAGAAAACTTAACAAGCGTTGAAGAAGACGACGTTTACACAAACTTAACAAAGATTGAAAACACTGTGGTTAACGATCTTCTCCTCCGAGATTATAATCATCATTACAACAGCGATGACGGAAAATGTTCTTACTATTATCCCATCATCGACGACATCAGTGCCACAACCACAAGTACCACGTCTTTCGTTTACGACACAACGGCTCTAACATCCAACGACACTCCTCTCGATTTTTTGGGTGGACTCGCAACGAGGACTAATAATTATTACTCCAAGGTCGGATCATTCGAGGGTTTTGGGACAGTCGAGAGTATTTCTCTCGATGACTTCTAATAAACCGAACCGACCGATGGGCCCATGATGAATATTTCGTGTGGTGATCAACTTTTTTATTAGATATATATAAAAATGCATTTTGCATTTTGAACAAAAATGTGTTTTATATTACAGTTTATTATGAAGATCATAGCGAAATGGGAGTCGTGGAGGTGTTTTGTATTTGATGAATAAATGTAATCATGTGTCGCGGCTTTATTATAGTCATCTTTTGGGAAATTTGTTGTTTCTTTTGTAAAAGCAAACAATATCGTTATACATATGAACTTGTCTTTTGAAATCGTGTTAATTCTAACTTTCATAAGTTATTTGGTTAAATATTATTTCAACCATTAACACATTATTCTTTATTAAACTTTTTACAAATTTGTTTTTTTTTTTTGTAGTTTTAAGTCTTAATTAAATCTAAATAGTGTTTACCTCTTATCAAACAAAATTCCGTGCAACATTCAAAAATTTGCAATGGACCCAAACCATTTGGATGTATTTTGCTCAGACTCTTTCGATCTTTCCCACATCATAATTATCCTTCTACGGACCAAGAGATAAATCTCTTCTCATTTTTAATTTTTTTTTTAAAATTTCCATATAGAAAGATATATATATGATGTGTAACTATCCTTTAGGTTTTATGTAGAATGGTTAAGGGATATATGATACTTTAGGGATTGTAACTGTATTACAATATTAATTTTCTGGGTTTTTGATTTTTTTGTTTGTTTGTTTTGATAGTTTTAACAAGCTTACAGTTGTCAAAAAACCATTTTAGCTCAATTTATGCACTTTAAGATGTTTGTATAGAAATAATAATTTTTATCAGATCTTGGAGAGACTATCTTGAAGATTTAAGAGTTATTGGAATGGTTTAATTCACTACAAGAAAACATCGATATACTGAGGGAAATTCCGAGGGAAAATGAGTTCCTCGGAATATTCCGAGGAAATTCTGAGGAAATTCCGAGGAACCAAAATTTTTGGGGTTCCTCGGAATATTCCGAGAAAATTCCGAGGAACGTCTGTTCCATCGGAAATTTCCGACGAAATTCCGAGGAACATGTGTTCCTCGGAAAAAACCGACGATAATCCGAGGATATATTATAGCCGTTGGGGGATTTGACTAAATTCCGAGGAAATTCCGAGGAACTAGCCGTTGCCGTCGGAATTTCCTCGGAAATTCCTCGGAATTGTCGGCAGATTTCATCTATAAATACTAGCACCTCTTATCCTCTTCATTCACTCCATATCTTCATCCTCTCACATACTATATTCACACACGAATTTGATTGAAAAAATCATGTCTTCTTCTAACTATTATCGTTCTTGGATCGATCGACCTCATTTGGATCCTAACACGAGATTGCTTACGGAAGAGTACCAAAGAGGTCTAAGCGAATTCATGGCAAAAGTTCAACAACTACCGGAAGCAAAAACGGGTATGTTAAGATGTCCTTGCTCTACTTGTAAAAATAAAAAGGTTATAAAAGAGTTAGATGTTTGGACTCATCTATATTTGAGAGGGTTTACACGAAGTTATAAAATTTGGTATCATCATGGGGAAACTGATTATGAATATGGTAGTACTAGCGAACCTCAGACTGCGGATAGGTTAGAAGAACCAATTAGAACGGGTGTAGATTATGGTATAGGTACTGAGCAGATGGTAAATGATCATTTTAGAGGGGAAGATTTACCTAATGCAGAAGCTAGGAGATTTTATGATATGTTGGATGCTGGAAAGCAACCTTTGTACGAAGGCTGCAGAGATGGTCATTCAGCTTTATCATCTGCAACAAGACTGATGGGCATTAAAACAGATTATAATTTGGCTGAAGACTGTGTGGATGCGATTGCTGATTTTGTAAAAGGTATTCTACCTGAGGATAATGTAGCCCCTGGTTCATACTACGAGGTTCAGAAACTGGTAGCTGGTCTTGGTTTATCTTATCAGGTAATAGATGTATGCATGGATAACTGCATGATTTATTGGAGGGCGGATGAGCAGCGGGTTACATGCAAATTTTGTGGGAAGGCTCGTTATAAAGATACCAGTGGAAGAGTTCCGGTGCCATATAAAAGGATGTGGTATTTGCCTTTAACGGAAAGATTGCAGAGGTTGTATCAGTCTGAACGCACAGCGCAACCAATGAGATCGCATGCAGAGCATTCAACAGATGGTGAGATTAGACATCCGTCAGATGCAAAAGCTTGGAAGCATTTCCAATCAACTTATCCAGAATTTGCGTATGAGAGAAGAAATGTCTACCTTGGATTATGTACGGATGGTTTCAGCCCATTTGGGAAGCATGGGAGACAGTATTCTCTATGGCCAGTCATTCTTACACCATACAACTTACCGCCAAACTTGTCCTTGCGTCGAGAGTTTTTGTTTCTCTCCATTCTCGATCCCGGGCCAGAGCATCCTAAGAGATCACTTGATGTGTTTCTTCAGCCACTAATATATGAGTTGCAACAACTATGAGCTCAAGGTGCTGAAACATACGATGTTTCGTGTAAAGAAAATTTTCAAATGCGGGCAGTACTTATGTGGACAATAAGTGATTTTCCAGCATATGGTATGTTATCTGGATGGACAACGCATGGAAGGCTATCATGTCCATATTGTCAAGATAACACTGATGCTTTCCAACTAAAACACGGAAGGAAAACGTGTTGGTTTGACTGTCACAGGAGATTCCTACCACCCGATCATCCATATCGTAGGAGTAGGAATTTGTTTACGAAGAACAAGAGGGTGTTTGACAGTCCACCTGAAGAAGTAAGTGGCATCAAACTGAAAGAACAACTAAGAGATTTTGGTGCAGATAGAACGCCAGACGTGGGTGGAAACGGACATGAACCAATTTATGGTGTAGGGGAACATCATAATTGGCATAAGAAGAGTATCTTCTGGGATTTGCCTTATTGGGAAACTCATTTGTTGAGGCATTGTTTAGATGTTATGCATATTGAGAAGAACTTTTTTGACAATCTCATGAACACGATCCTTAACGTTCAAGGTAAAACGAAGGATAATTTGAAGTCGAGGCTGGATTTAGTCGATATATGTGCTCGTTCAGAACTTCATGTTGATGAGAATGGTAGGGCTCCTTTTCCCATATACCGGCTTGATGCGGCGGCCAAAGATGCGTTCTTTGAGTGGATTTCAAAAGATGTGGAATTTCCAGACGGTTACGCATCTAATTTGTGTAACTGTGTCGATAGAAACGAAGGGAAGTTTATCGGCTTGAAGAGTCACGATTGCCATGTAATGATGCAGCGCCTCCTTCCATTTGCCTTCAAGGAACTGTTACCAAGGAATGTTCATGAAGCAATTGCAGGGATAAGTGCTTTCTTCCGCGATTTATGCACGAGATCAGTGACTCCTGAAGGTATTGAAAATTTGAAGACTAACATAGCCGTGATCAAGTGCAACCTTGAGAAGATATTTCCTCCTTCATTTTTTGATGTTATGGAACATCTTGTTATTCACCTACCAAGAGAATTGGAACTTGGTGGTCCTGTGCAGTATAGATGGATGTATTTGTATGAGCGGTATATGTTCCATCTGAAGAAGATGGTGAAAAATTTAAGTAGGGTGGAAGGTTCTATAGTGGCACAGATGATCAATTCAGAAACTTCAAACTTTGCCGAGTACTACTTTCCAGGAGAAGTGCAGACCAAAAACAGAAAACCTGCTCGGCATGAGGATAGAGGCGAAAGGGCGACATATTATGTTACGGTTCCAGAAATCTTCACAGATGTTGGACGACTTAGCGGAAAAGCAAAGGACCGTCGACTTACTGAGCAGGAGCACAGTCATTTGCAAACATATTTGCTCACCAACTGCGAAGATGTTCTTCCATATGAGAGGTAAATAAATTAGCTCACAAATTTATATTTTTACAAGTTAAATTTAAATTTTAATTAATTACATTATTGTCATCTCATATATGTGCAGGATTTTCATGGCAGAAAAGCGGTTAGAACATAGATATGCCACAGAGGAGGAACTAGAACAACTGAAGCAGAGAGAATTTGCTGGATGGATGTTTACTTATGTGAGAGAATCTGAGGAAGTGTTGATTTTCCTCGGAATTTCCTCGGAAAAAGTCAATATAATAATCGAATTTTAGGGATTTGATATCAGGGTTTCATTTCCTCGGAATTTTTCTCAGAAATTTCCGAGGAAATTCCGAGGAAAACAAGCATTCCACGGAATTTCCTCGGTAATTTCTGAGGAAATTCCGAGGAACATTAGCATTCGTCGGAAATTCCTCGGAAATTTCCGAGGAAATTCTGAGGAAACATGGTTTCGGAACCGAAAACAGCGATTTACGGATTGAATAAGACTTGTATAAACCTTGTTAAGTGTTTTGGATTGATTATGAATTCAAAAAATGCTATGGTACCCAAATTATAGACACTTTTCCGATTGTATAAACGAAATCCTTAAACTACAACATAAACACTTATACACTTTAATGAACAGAAACGACAATACGTGTACTCGTTTTAATAATTCTTTAATTTCATGGTTTATAGGCATCTATTGTCATCTTATCCATTGATAATCTATCAAATTGTTCAATGAATGATTTACCGTATCAAAAGTTTAGGTTTTGAAACCCCAAACAATATTTCCTCGGAATTTTTTTCCGAGGAAATTCCGACGGACTTCTAAATATCCGTCGGAATTTCCTCGGAATATTTTGGTACCCGGGAAATCAATCCGCCAAACATTTTTGCGAAAATTAAATTAAGAAATTCCGACGGAATTCCGAGGAACCCTTTTCCGTCGGAATTTTTGGTTTATTAACCCTAGAGAGTTCTTCTTCCCCATTTCTCTTCTCTTCTCTTCCTCTCCCTCTCGGCCGCCGACGAAAACTGCCCCTCTCTCTCTCGATTTTCGTCGCGAAATCTCCCCTATTTCATTCCAAATCATGTAAGTCCTTAATCCCCATCATCCTTAGTTGTTTTGATTAGGATTTGAAGTTAGT